ACTAAAACAAAACCCCCTTTATGGAGTTGGTTAGCATGTTCAGTATTGGACAGTTAATGGTTGATGAGAATGAATGAATGAATGAATGAAATTCGGATATAGTTCGTCTAAACATCACTGAACGACTCAGAGCAACCTTGTATGGTTAATAGAATAACACTATGTATTGGTATTAAAAATAATTCTTTTAAATATACTCCTTTTCAATCCTAGGAAATCGTGAAAGATCTTTCAGGAATAATTATACAATGTCATAACAACGAAGAAAAAGTTAAATCCTTTATGACTACTGTATGGCTAGCGTGGTAATTGGAGGCTATATTTTTCTTCTGTGGGATTTCAACAGTGGGATTATCATCATCGCCATCATCATTTCAACCATGATCCGTCCACTGCTGGACATAAGTCTCCCCCATAGATTTGCTATAGAGAATGGTCCTGAGCCACCTGTATCTGCGATGTATTTCAGGTCGTCACTCTATCTAGTGGGGTGTCGTCCTACACTGAGTTTACCCGTACGCGGTCGCCGCTCAAGAACCTTTCTTCCCTATCGGTTGTCGATTCTTCAAGCCATGTGATTAGCTCATTGCCACAGTGAGATGTTATGGCTTAATTTCTCGGACGGACGTTTCTCAGAGGAATAAAATTCGAGTGAATATGAGAAAACATTACCATCAGCAATTTGTATTTATTTAATAGAATTCTAAAGTTTATTCATGTATGTACGAAGCGATAAATCACTCGTATCACGTCATACATAGTAAATAAAGTGTTGGATTCCCCATTTCAGTAATTCCCTTGAATATTCACATTTTTCACGGTTCAATTTGGATTGGCTACATTTTATGTGGAAGTTTAAGAAAGTCGCAAAATGTTTACCGGTTAGGGCTGTCAGAATATATAATTGGAAAACCACAATACAACTCATTAAAAACAAGAGCAGCACGACAATCGGAATGTATTTTAACTTTGGTAAAATTCCTCTGAATAAAATATGAACGAAAACAAAAAGTTACGGATTTGTTATAGCTCATTGTATCCTGGAAGTTTGTTTTGTATAATTTCATAAATTCGAGTGTTTATATAAATAAATCGAATGCATACAAATTAAAACAATTTATAAAAAGATATTTTTAATAAATGGTAAGCAGTGTACTTTTATCATTTTAATGTACATGAACCCTCATGTACATTAAAATGATAAAAGTATCTGCTTTCAACCCTGTGTACGGTGTTAATATGTAACGTAACGTAAACTTCATTTATAACATTATATTGTTGAATTACTAACATTTTCCGAGGTCTTCCCAAGAGACTACAGCATGGGGTTCTTCAAAAGGGGGGTAAAGAGGTTTCTTCAGGGTCGGCAACGCGCGCGTAATACCTCTGGTATTGCAGGCGTTCATAGGCTACGGTAACCGCTTAGCATCAGGTGGGCCGTATGCTTGTTTGCCACCTCAGTGGTATAAAAAAAATTAAGATTTAATAATTTATTTAAATATATGGGGCTTTAGAGGTCCTTTTTGACTGGTTACATTTATCAAAAAGGGTCAATTAAAATCTTAAATAAAAATGCTTTTAAATATGTCCACGATTTTAAACCGTAATCACAGACATATATGTGCTACTGTTATTTCGGTGATTGGAACACTAAGTATTCTTTTCCTAAATGTTACTTTTCCTTTCCATCCAAAGGTTGCCTAGAAGAGATCGCTTTTAGCAATAAGATCGCCTATTGTTTTCTCAATGTGATCATTTCTTGTAATTGTTTGTATTAATAATAAGCTTACTACTGTAATCTTTTGGAGAAAACAATAATGTGTATCTATCTACATATCTACCAGAGGGAGACTTTGTAAAAAAGTCGATTGCTTGGGTACCTCTGTTCCATTCGTGTTTCTACCGTGAAGCAGTTGCGTTTGCATGGCTGTGTTTCGGTTTGAAGGGTGGGATATGGCGTGAATTTACAGGGTACAGAGGAATAACACCTGAGTCCTCAGGAATGGCATCGCATGGGGGGTATCATGGGCGAAACAGTATACTCTGTTATGTCCAGGGTACTGCTCGTGTCTATAGGTGACGGTTACCACTTTCCATCAGGTGGCCCGTCAGCTTGTTTGCCATTCTAAGTTGTATATAAAAAAAAATATTTCTAGTTGTAAAACTAAAGGTCAAAATCTTGGGTAATGTGGATAAAAAAATTAACCGTCCACCTCAAAATTTATATAACTGGTATAAGAATAGAGAAACGATGATTATTTCTAGTCTATTCTATCATTGTAGTACTGAATACTAGCAGCCCTGTTGGTTGTTATTGCAGTTAGGACAAAATTTTAATTTGAGCTTTTAAATTCCGCTCGGACAGCGAGCACGCGTGCGATGAATTCACTTAACTAAATCAAGTAAAGGATTGCTCGTTGCTCACGAACTGTGTTGCAGGTTATTTTATCATATAAATACTTTAAATACTATATTTTATACAAAAGATACGATGTTACTTGCGGCTGCCATTATGTGAATCTGTTATTATCTATTCCTGTGATGACAATATTATATTTCATTATAGTTTCATTAGTGAAATATATTTTAGAATTGCATTTTGTGGAGATTATTTCTATATTTTAGAATACAATAAAAGTTGCTGTTCTCTCTAATAGAAAGTAGTCATGAACTGAGTAAATTCTGATGCCCACTGTATGTCATATGCATTGTCATTCCCGAGGAGTTAGTAATAATAATAACCCTTCAAACCGCAAGTTTCGTAATAGGATATATTGTAGAGATAACCTTAGGGGTTTCACAGATTAACAGTCGCCGTGAATATTAAATACCTTCGACTTTGTTGGGCTGCCAATGGTAATATTTAGGCAAAGGCCAAATTACAATTTCAGAGGAAGATTGTCAGATATCTCTATCTGCGATTTCTATACCATAATGTTTGTAATTATTAGCAGCACAAATGTGAAATAAAATGTGAATAACACCAATTACACGGTTCTTAAAACTTGATTATATAGGAAACCAGACCGTGAACAGTTGTTGGGGACAATTCTGTATGCGTAGATTATAGACAATTTTAAAATTTCTTAACTCAGAATGGCACTGTTTTCTTATGGCTTTTTTTATACAACTTAGAATGGCAAACAAGCTGACGGCCCACCTTATGGAAAGTGGTAACCGTCGCCTAGAGACATGAGCAGTACCATGGACATAACAGAGTATACTGTTTCGCCCATAATACCCCCCATGCGTTGCCATTCCTGAGGACTCAGGTGTTATTCCTCTGTACCCTGTAAATTCACGCCATATCCCACCTTTCAAACCGAAACACAGTAATAAAATCGCCGTTTTGGGGAAAAATACTGTTTCTACAGCGAAGCAGCATCAGCATGTGCTTATTCTATGATCGGTTTACTAAGATGCAGGTACATATATGGCAGGTAAATTACAAGTTATGGAGAAATAATATTTCACTTATCAGGAATGATAATGGAAGTCTTATCCGTGGACATAAATGCATACATTGATGCTCATGAGACCCGTTCACGTCTATAGACGATATTATTTCTTTCCATCAGATAGCCCGTAAGTTCATTTGTTAATCCAAGTTACATAAAAAAAAAAATAACAGAGTTTAAATGTCTGATCGTAAATATTGTTAAGAAAGCGTCCGGATTAAACATCCGGCCACGTACCATTTGCAACACCATGAAGTTGTCTGTAGTACGACTTGGATTTTGTAATATCTATTTAATATTTCGTTGTTATTGCGCAAAATACAACTTTTAGCTTAACACATGGTGAATCTTTGAAGGTTAATTTTATGTAATCATTAGAATCGAACTAGCGTCGTACTGTTGACCTCTCATAAGCGATTACAAGAGGTTTGTAAACTAGTAAGTTTTAACTTCAGCTTCTTAAACGCTTCAGCACAGTTATTATGGTTTGTACGAGAAGAATTCATCCTACGTCATAAATGTGGTAGCGAAAAGTATTTATAGATAATCTCGTTTACCACAATGATCGTTCACCATCAGACGGGCTGTATGTATGTAGATTGCTATCTTTATGGTATAAAACAAAACTACTTGTCTAGATTTTTTTTTAAACAACTTAGAATGGCAAACGCGCTGACGGTCCACCTGATGGAAAGTGGTAACCGTCGGCTATAGACATGAGCAGTACCATGTACATAACAGAGTATACTGTTTCGCCCATGCGTAGCCATTCCTGAGGATTCAGGTGATACTCCTCTGTACTCTGTACCTCTGATGGGTCGATTTGTTATTATAGAAGATGGTACGTTTGTAGCTATGTTTTCGGAGTTGTCGTCCTGTTAGCAGCTGGTAGCTAAGTCATAATATTGACAGTGGTGTCGGCTTTCGCCTTGCACTCAGTATACAAAGAATTTTTTACTCAATTGTAAAAAAAATATAAATGATAGATAGATTTAATTTATTACCTATAGATTTATTAATCCGGAAATATAAAAAAATAGCTAACTATAGTAATCTAGTCGGATGACATAGCTCGTAATTTATTAGATTTATTTCATTAACAAAGATAAATCTAGTCTAGTATTTGCATGAACATTTTAATTTAAAACAGCTGTTTAATTTATAGTCTTCTAGTTAGGTAATAAATGAATATATATATATGATATTTACATATTATTTAGATGGAAATAAATAAGAAATAAATTTATCTGTAATAATTAAACATTGAGAGAGATATGAGCTAGTGGTGATCCCGATTTGCATTGCATAGATCGTGAGATCGAATTTAATCGACACTAAAAACTATCGTGTGTTTCAATTTCTGATTAACTTGGCGGCGATGGGTAACACCAATAACATCAATTTTCACCATCTATGACATTGGAGTTTTGCGTTCACTATAACTCAACTATTATCGGAAAAAATACCACTGACTACCCCATTAGTGATTATAGTCGTGAACATATTTATTTTTTGTATTAATTAAATGTAATTAGTACATACCATTGCTTTCATTTGGATCATCTTGTTATTCGGCAGTTGGTTTCTGAAAATAAAAGTAAAAGGTGCTTAAAATTTAAAATATCAAGGAATGATCTAGGAAGACATGATACATTGTATTCTAATTGACATACGATTTATTATTTCACCAGTGCTCAATTTGCATGATAATATCAAGTGAAAATTACATGGGTTTCTCTGCCAATAATTATATATGAAACACCATTGTAATGACGGGTTATTGGACACGTATGAATTGGATTTCCTCGTTCATAAAGCTACAATGTAATTTATGTATTTTTAAATGCAAAATTATAAGGATTTTGAGTTCACGTTGTATTATATTGTTTCCATGTAATTAATTGAGAATCATGATTGCTTAACTATTGAAATAGCGTATATATTTTAATTAACTTCACGCTAGACGTTTCAAGGGGTACGTAGAGAGAGTGACAAAGCTTTTATAATTAATGCCTTAGACAACAACTGCGTATATGTCGTTAAATATTTTACAGGCATTTGATTATTATTTTTGTAGACACTTTAGATTAAAATTTAGAGATTTTGATGAAGTATATTATAAATAGATTATTAATTTAATAGTTTTTTTTTTTAACAACATTCAGTATATTAACACGTTGACAGGCAAATTTATCGAATAAACACAAATAATATGTTACGTTAATAAAGAAAATTAAAATTTGATTCCAGAAAGAATTAAACCGCTAAAGGAATAAAAGATTCATCAAAATCAACTCTGAAACGGCGAATGTATCGTCTAATACAACTAAATACATTTTACTACATTACTCAAACATATGTAAGTTTTAATAGCAAATATATACTGATTATTTATGTAGAATATTAAAACAAACTCTGCTTTCACCAAAAGGGTGTGGCGTGATTATATGCAGTCCACGAGCAATTAATCCAATTCTGATTACATACAATATCATAATATAATTAAATATATATATATATATATATATATATATATATATATATATATATATATATATATATATATATATATATTTGATTCCACTATATGTATTCACTATCTATACCAATTCCAATCAATTTCTTTCTCCATCTGTTTTTACCACGTGACTACTAAATACTTTTCACACGACTGGAACATTTGGGTAACACTTCACACGCACTCACTCGCGTACTCACCAGGTCACGGGGCGCACTAAGTGTGGGTAGTGTGGGTTAGTGGCGGCACTGGGATGCGACCAATGTGTCAAGTGTGATGCGCGCACTGCGACCGCCGCCCGCGCCTACCACATATATACGCTGCCAGCCCCACCCCACGTCATCTCTCATTTCAGTATTTTCATAGCACACACTCGTAAAATATGTACATTATAAGAAAATAATAGTAAAAAAAAAAATTTATTCACAATAGACAGTAATAAAATTGTTAAGAAATAGTTTTGTCTCTTTGTGCGTGTTGAGGTAAATTATATATTTTATATAGGTAATGAAGGTTATTTATAAAGTGTGAAAATTTTTATGTTTTACTACAATTTGAGAATATTATAGATTAATTTTTAGTTATTTGTTATTTTCAGTTGTGTTTGCATGGCTGTGTTTTGGTTTGAAGGGTGGGATATGGCAGTGAATTTACAGGGTACAGAGTAATAACACCTGAGTCCTCAGGAATGGCAACGCATGGGGGGTATCATGGGCGAAACAGTATACTCTGTTATGTCCATGGTACTGTTCAGGTCTATAGGCGACGGTTACCACTTCCCATCAGGTGGGCCGTCAGCTTGTTTGCCATTCTGAGTTGTATAAAAAAAAAACTCTCGACAGAGTGGTCGTGATTTTTATGATGATAATGGACTGTCGACGAGGCCCTCCTTCGCGACTGAGGTCCTCGCAATGCGTCTCCATCTACTTCTGTTCACAGCCGAACGAGAGCATTCCACAATAGACTGCTGTGTGGCCGTTTTGATGAGGTCAGTCCATCGCGTTGGTGATTTACTCCGAAGACGTTTTCCGTGTACCGACCCTTGGACAATTAGATGTTCCATACAATTTTCATTCCGGATGATATGTCCGAAGTACTTGAGAATTCGTATTTAAACAGTCGACGATAATCTCTCTCTTACATGCATGACTTTGGTCGCTTGACTAGGTTTCATGATTGGCAGGGGGGAAGGGATTGTTAGTAATGGGTATTAGAAAGACTATTACTTGTAACATACCCTATCAGGTCCTCCTCGCAGATCCTCTAGGAAACTTTGATTTATTGGTAAATTCGTCACGATGGTCTAAGTGACCTGCTTCATCTACACCTATCATCTCTCACTGGTGCCCCGCCAGTGTATACCGGTGACGCAGGCGGGGTAACCATTCCATTATCGTCTATCAAAATACACCATGATTGGCATTCATTGACCTTAAATGCTGTGTATACCAAAATTCAAGATGATTAGTTGTTAAAGTACCAAGGGGAATATGAAAGGTATTATGGGTGACACTGACATCTTCTATAATAACAAATCGACCCATCAGAGGTACAGAGTACAGAGGAATAACACCTAAGTCCTCAGGAATGGCAACGCATGGGGTATCATGGGCGAAACAGTATACTCTGTTATGTGCATGGCACTGATCAAGTCTATAGGCGACGGTTACCACTGTCCATCAGGTGGGCCGTCAAAGCTTGTTTGCCATTCTAAGTTGTATAAAGACAAACAAATGATCTACTTTCACATCCATAATGTTAGTATTAACTTAACGATTATAAATATTACTGATCGAAATATTTAAGTGTAACCTCAGTCTTACTAATCACTGTATGAGATAATAATGATCTCTGGTAATTTTGTCATTCATGCCAATTTTAATTTTTCGTCATTGTCAATATTTCAATCACTATTTGACCTAAAAGTTTAAAAAAGATATTGTAAAAGTGTAGTTATTTTTTCCTTTTGAATATTTATTACATGCAATGTTAGCGTGGGTGACGTCCCTCCCACGCTGGTAAGAGAAAACATTGTAAAATTACGTACAAAATATATTCTGTACATATATATATATATATATATATATATATATATATATATATATATATATATATATATATATATATATATATATATATATATATATATATATATATATATATATATATATATATATATATATATATATATATATATATATATATATCATCATCATATCACCCTTTAACTCTAGGGGGGTTTTACCATTAGTTGCCAAACTTGGCAAGCGGATTAGCAACCGCAGTTAGGCTTTGGAGATGTTTTAAGAGAGACGCTGCTGTCCATCCCTCGCCCTCCCCTAGTCATCTCTTACACCCACAGGAAAAGAAGGGGTGGCCTATTCTATGCCGGCCGGTATTTTGAAATATTTGTCAATAGACAATGTGTATTTTTTTTTATAGAAGCTAGTTAAAGTGACCATATTCCACCTGAGAGTAAACAGGTAATGTGGTCCAAATGTGAGGGTCCGCATTATAGTAATTTATACTGTATTGACGATCGACATCTTGGCAGCCTGCAAATGTAGTTCTTCAAGGTAAAAGAAAACACGTGGTCGGGAAGTGAATTCCGAAGATTAATAATTCGATGGAGGTATGAACCCGTGAATCCTGTGGTGCGCGCAGTCAAATGCTGACGGCCCACCTGATGGAAAGTGGTAACCGTCGCCTATAGACATGAGCAGTACCATGGACATAACAGAGTATACTGTTTCGCCCATGACACCCCCCATGCGTTGCCATTTCTGATGATTCAGATGTTACTCCTCTGTACCCTGTAAATTCACGTCATATTCCACCCTTCAAACCGAAACACAGCCATGTAAACACAACTGTTTCACGGTTGAAAATCGAATGGGACAGAGGTAACCAAGCAAACGACTTTTGTACAGTCTCCCTCTGGTAAATTAAACGTAGATTAGAAAAAAATTCTAGTCTTCATGATACATTTCATGCCTAGATTTTTCTAGAGATTGTAGTGTACGCTTCTTCGAAAACGGTATATCTATTAAGGTTTTTTTTGCGAGTTGGCAACAAAAACGTGAAACCTCTGGCATTGTAGGTGTCCATAGGCTACGAGAGTTCACATAATATCCGGTTACGATGACCATTTGCTATCAGACGCATTTTATATATACTTATTGGCCATTATTGTTGTATATAAAAGAAAACAATTATCCATAAGGAGCTTTCCGAAATGTGAAAAGAATTTTTAAATCGCTATGTTTATGTACAACAAAAAATTAATTACTTGAAAAAAAATGTTCAATTTCGCAAATACTGCCTGTGGAATTCTTGTAGTAAAATATTCGTATCTTAGATTTTATAAATAGAGTGTCTCCATAGAAATGTTTCGAGAAAAACGGCACAACTTTTTCATACAATTTTGCGTGATAAATAGTTAGGGGTGATTCCTTTATGACTTCTATATTTATTTTGTTTTATAATTTCTGCATCTTTTTAATGCGTAAACGCTCATTTTATTTATTAAATAATACGTCAAGATAGACTTTATGCGTAAATATCCAGAACACTGCTAAAAAGTATAATAAAAAAAAAAAACGAGCCGGCTAACTTGACAATTAGCTCACAAAGAGTTGACCCGTTTTTAAGGCTCGATGCTCTCTCTATCTATATACTCTAAGGTTTTTTTTTTTAAACAACTTAGAATGGCAAATAAGCTGACTGCCCACCTGATGGAAAGCGTAACCGTCGCCTATAGACATGAGCAGTACCATGGACATAACAGAGTATACTGTTTCGCCCATGATACCCCCCATGCGTTGCCATTCCTGAGGACTCAGGTGTTATTCCTCGGTACCCAGTAAATTCACGCCATTGTATATACTCGTATTTTTTCCGTGAATTGGAATGGAAAAGATTTTGGGCTGCAAAATGTATTCGCATCTAAGCGAGGTCGCGGACGCGCGCTAATATCTAAGTGGAAAATTAGAATCACGAAATGTTATTATTGCAAATACATTATTACTATGTTTGTTGTTGAATCAGCTGTTGACTGTCCGCTGCTGAACATAGCCTCCTCCATAAGGGGGGGGGGGAGATTGCCAGTTATAACCACACTTGGTAAACGGGTTGGCAACCGCAGTTTGGCTTTTGGTGATATTTTAAGAGGGACACTGTTGTCCATCCCTCTAGCATAAGTCCACGGGAAAGGAAGGGGTGGCCTATTTTATATCCAGACTTACACGACTATTTTAATGTTTATTGTCATAAAATATTAGTACATAGAAAATTTCAAATTACTTGTATCCCGGGCAAGAGGCTAACAAGCCGCTGGCTCGAGGCGGGGCTGGACCCCGAGACATTTCGTCTTTGACATACTTTTGTTTTATTACTCACTCAGAGTATTATAATTTGGTTTCCATAAAGCTATTGTTTACGTTGTTATTGTTAGTGAATTAAAATATATAATTATTTGCTAATTAATTAAGTTATTGCTTAATGGATTTTATATACTTGGAGGATTGAATGCAGAGTTAGATTATATTTTTAGCATTCTATTGTTCTGTTTTGGCAGTGATTCAACAGTTTCTTAATGTGCATATCTATTAATAGTTTTTACATTTCGGCGTTTTATGGGGCTCTTTATATCATAAATAAATAAATAAATAAAATAAATTTAATGTTTTTAGTACTATTATATCAACCGTTCACTGTCCACTGCTAGACATAGGCCTTCTAAGGGGAAAGGGATTGTTAGTAATGGGATCTAATGAACCCATTGCTAGCAATACACCTAATCAGGTCGACCTCCACGTGGTTCTCTCTGGAAATCATCGTGAACAATTCTTGTTGTATTCGTCACGATGGGCTAACGGACCTGCTTCATCCTCACCTATCATCTCTCACTAGTGCACCGCCAGTGTATACCGATAGCGCGGGCGGGGTTACATTATCACCCTTTAAAAAAAACTTGGCCTCCCTACATTGGGAGGTTTTGCCAGTAGTTTCGAGGATTAGCAGGTGGTTGGTAACTGCGAGGCGTAGCAGTTAGGTTTAGATGATATTTTAACATATTTAGGATTATTTTGTGATAAATAGTTATAAAATTTCTAGTAAGTAATATGGGAGTGCTCGTGTGAGATTCCTTATCGTATCTATCTTGTATTTACAACATTATATTAATATGTACACACAATTCCGTGTGCTTATTTGAAAATGTATGTACGTCTCAGTAAATTTAATTATCAACTCTCTAATAAGGCTAATATAGTATCTAGTTAATTACGC